AATAGATACAAACAATAAAGCCCCATTTCATAATTCATTCCAATTTAAATCTAAGAATATCACATTTATGGTGAAATAAACCTATAAGTAGGCCCCAACTATGAGTACTTTTTTCCTAGTAAGATAATATTAAACATTTCAGAATGACAAATGAAACATGCAACTGATTCCAATTCATATGTAAATTCCAGTATTAATTTTCTTGTGATGAATGTGAAAGAGGTCATACTAAATAAGACAATCACAATCACCTGAGCTAAAACCCATCCAACAAGCCAATCAATGTCACTTCTGTGATTGGATATGGCAACATTCACTGTTGAAACCAGTGACACATCCTGCACTAGTTCTATTTTAAACAAAAGAAAGGCTTAATTCATATATATACATATAATACCCCATTATGTGACAGGGCATAGATCAAGCAGTACAAAATTTAATAAGAGAGAACGGTTCCTGAACGTATGGAAGAGGCACCAATAGCAAAATGAAGAGACTTGAAGGACTGTACCAAGTATAGGAAGATCCAGTCAAGTATTTCTATGTGGTGTTGAATTTGCATCGCAAGCCTTAACAAAGATAGGTTTCACCACAAAAGCATATATTGACAAAAAAATAAGGTTAAAGTCCAATTATTTGAATGGAAAGAAAACCAGCCCGTGTCATAGGCAAGGAAACCAACACTACAACCATATACTACACTAAAAACAGCGTCTGCACCAATGTAAAGGAAATAAAACTGCAGCAACAATTTTATTAGTGAAAAAGTGATTGCACAACTTTAATGAAGGAGGTTCTTAATTCCATTCGTGAATTCCAATCCAAGGTATACATCAATTCCATATATAACCTTCATTATTTTACCAATTAAATAAATCCTAAAGAATGAAGTAGGTACAATACAAAGTAATTGACATATCATTTTATTCAAGGTATATGATTAAGTGTATATATATTCAGCACTAAAAGATTCTTTAGTCATGATTAATGTGCAGCTTTGGCCTACACCGAGAGAATTAGCACTTAGCAAGAAAAGAAAACTAAACACAGTATGATTAATGTTCATTATGTAATCTAACCTCTATGGCTCGGTTATGGATGATCACATCTTATTTCTCTTTCTCCTTCTTCATACTTCTTCAATTCACAGTCGCCTTTGCATCTTCTTCCAACCTAATTCTTGAAATCTAATTTACAAGAAGAGAAGTGATATGTGACTGTGAAGAAAGAAGAAGAAAAAAAATAAACCATAAAAAAAGAGTAACAGAGAGATAGAAAGAGATGAGAACCTCCTAAACGCTCTTGTTCTGCAGCGTGCAGCGTGCGGCATGCGGCGTGGTGGCAGGTCGAATATGAAATTGCTGGAAGAGAAGAGGAAGTGAAGAACGGCAGGAAGTGAAGAACAGCAGGAAGTGAAGAACAACAGGAAGTGAAGAACAGTAGGAAGTGAAGAAGAATAAGACGAGGGGTTTGTTTCACGAAAAAAAACAGAAGTGAAGAAAAAAAGAGAGAAAGCAGCTTAGGGGCTTGAGGGAAGTAAATACATTTTAAAAAAATAAAAATGTAAAACTTAGTTGCGGTTTTTGTAAATTTGCCGAAAATTCAAGGGGTTGTTTTCTAAAACCGCCGAAGATTTAAGGAGTTTAAAAACCCCGAAAATAAATCCCTATTACATGATATTATTTTTGTAGTATAGTGTTTGATTCTATCGGATCAATAGTTTAATGAATGTGAATTTTAGACATATATTGTGATGCTAGGAATATATTTTAGTATATCAATTACTTATAACACTTGAATATAATGTTGCACAATTTGTTGGATATGTGAGGAATCAATATTTAAGAAACAGATCTTATGAATTGGTATAAATGAATTTTGTGTGTTGCATTAATATTGGGAATTTCAGATGTTATATGTTTATATTCATTCAGATTGCATATGAGTGAGATAGATGAATTCAATCCCAACTTCTCATATTAAATTTTTTCTAACTTATTTACTATTATTATTTTACTATCACGCAACTTAGTATAAATTATCAAAATCTTTTATCAATCAGATTTAATATCCTTATATATATGTTGTTTGAGATAAAATTATCTATTTAATTGAAGTTGTTCCTCGTGGGATCGACACTTTCACTTAAAAATCATTATATTACAGTTGACTATTGGTATGTTTGCCAAAAGATTCCACGGTAGCTTTGTTAAAGGAAAAGGAGGATTTGGAAATAAAAATGGAAAAGTAAAAGGAAAAACAAAATGAAGGGAGGATAAAAAAGATGAATCAAATCACAATCCCCGAAATTTACTAATGATTTTTATCAAAAATACAAAAGAATGGTACGAAGAAGACTAGTAAAATAGATTGAATGAAGATGAGGTGAAGAAGTTTAACAAAGAAAATAATTGTTAATGAAAAAAATGAGTTTGACTGAAGAGACAAGTATAAACAAAAGATATGGATATGGATGAATGAAATAAGTATAAATTTTTTTATTAATATAAATAAAATAAATGACTATGAGAGAATTTATATTTAAAATCAATGAAGAAAATTGAGTAAAATATTTGTTATCTTTAAATTTTGACCATTAAATTAAAAACATTATGCAGGTTTTATTCAATTCATAAATATTAAAAATAATTTACATCTTTTTAAGTTTTGGAAACAATTAACTCTTTGCATTATGTATATTGGTATCATAATTTAGTAAACTCTAATATTTATGAGTTAATTTTACAAATTTTTTTATCAACTAAATAAATGTATTTAATATAACAAAATTTGGGTTATAATTTTACAATTTGTTGTAGTAGGGCTTTGTAGTTATACACGTGTATCATGCACATGGTTGTTATTAGGAATTTCTTCCATGTCTCTTGGAAGCAAGATATAGGAAAGTTATGAGGATCGTTGTCGAAACAAAAGTGACTCAAGCATCTCAAGACAAGTATCTCTTGGACATTACACTAATATGTTAAGGAATAATTCAGTGAAAATTCTTATTGCTCCAATTATTAAATATATCATGACTTTATTGAAATATATGGAAATATATTGAAAACATTTCTATTATCTGTATGGATGTATCCACTAAAAAAAATTCTAAAATAGGAACTTCTGATAACTAGTATGCGGATTACAATTAAAAATAAAAAACTGTTAAGATTAAAACTTAATTTTAGGATTACAATAGGTAACTTTATGTAAGAAAAAATAGAAAAATAAATAATATATAGAGAAATTTTCATATATATCAGTACAGTTAGGACTACTCTACAAAACATTAATTATTAACTATTCTTTTATTAAAAAAGAACATAATAAAATAACACTTTCGTAAAAGAGAAAAAAACATGCAGAAAGAATATAACTTTTTATTTGTTAGAGGAGAATGTGGACAGGGAAACTAAACACGTGAAACATAGAGAAAGAGATAGGTCATGTAAAATCTTTTTTCTCGTGAAGGAAACATAAAAAAAAGAAGTTATATATGTTTTTATAACGGTAAACATCAAATGTTTGAAGACAGAACAGTAGAAGATAGAAGATCATACTTTTAGTTTTAATCATAAATAATTTAAGAAAAAGTATAATTAGATTATCATTAATTAAATATTTTTTTCAAAATTTATAAATATAAATTTAACATAAAAAAAAAAATGATTGTATTTAATATATACTTAATATTTAAATTATTAAATTCTAACGGACTTTAGTATTAGAAACATTTCCTGTAAGTGTGCTCCAAATCAGATTGGACAAATAACTACAAATATTGATAGTAAAAAACATTTGGATACTTTAAACTCTGATATTATCTGTGGAAGTTCACTTTGATCCTCCGTCCCAAACAGTTTCTTATTTTAAAAAATATACTTTTTTACATAATATAAAACAAAATACGTTAACTGTACAACTTATTCAAATAATATAACATATATATATATAAATTAAAATACCAAAGAAATATGATTAAAATGTTAGTATATTATAGTATGAAGTAGTTTAATTTCAACTTATTTTCTTTGTTATTTTCTTTTCTATTGTGACTATTTTATAAAGTAAAATTTAAGGTAATGATATATAGATATCCAACTTTTTATTCAACACATTTTTATTACCAGTAAAAATATATTTTTATTTTAAAATAAAAATAATTTAAGATGAATTAATTAAAAGAATATAAATATTAAATTTTTATTAAGTATTGAAAAGGATCAAATAAATATGATGAGTTATGCATGTAAAGTTTTTCAAATATTTATCCCTTATACTGCAGTCGTATTTATGTTAGTTTTATGTTCTCTTTCTTATGCTAGTTTTAGAGTTTTTTTAATTAAATTTTAAGTTTATTATAAATTTGAAAATTTTTAATTAAGTTTCTCTAAAATTTTTGTAGTTTATTGAATTTTTAAAAATTTAAAATTCTTCAATTGAGTTTCTCCGATTAAATTTTTCTGGTAATTAAGTAATGTAACTAAGTTTTGCTTTTATCCTACGTAATTTTATAATATTGTAATTTTATAAAATTATAAAAATATAAATATGAAATTATATGTAATGAAAACTAAGATGACAGAATAATAAAATAATCATGTTATCCAAGTTAACAATAAAATTTAAGAATAGGATGACCAAATTAAAATAATGTAACAATAAGAATTCAATTTAAAATTTTAAAGTTTTTAGAATTTAATAAAATCCAAAAAATTTAATATAATAATTCAATTAAAAGTTTTTAAGTCTATTATATAGTTCAAATTTAATTAAACTTTTTTTTTCATATGTAAATCTTCTTCTCTTCTTTGTAACACACTTTTACTCCATGCCAATAATATTTCCTCCTTTTGTTCTTTGCTTTGATACTATGTAATATTCTTGCCTCCCATTAAAAGCAACACCACATGTTTTTGTATATATATATATATATATATATATATATATATATATATATATATATATATGTGAAGCAAAGCAAGACAAGACAAAACCTTGTAATGGAATGTATTGGTGTTGCATCCCGTGGAATAGTTCATGAAGTGCTCACAAGATATAACTATCAGCAATGGGAAACTCTAATGAAAAGCTATCTGAGGGGGGAAAATTTGTGGGAAGTTGTGGGTTATGCTTCGACACCCATTGATGCACAAAGAGACGCAAAGGCTCTGCATATTATTCAACTATCATGTGCACCAATAATTTTCGAACAAATTAAACACCTCCAAACCGCCCACGAAGCTTGGAATCACTTGGCCGAAGTTTACAGATCTGAGTTTAAAGTCCAACCGCATATTCGACACGGTAAGTGTTTAGATGCATCTTCAAATTTTCTTTATATAAATTATATATTTACACGTAATACTAACTCAAATATTTATTTATGTTTTAATGTGAATTGGACGCACATATAGGTGTTGTATCTGACAACGTTAGTGAGCACAAAGATTTATACAAGTTTGTGAAAAACGGTGATTGGGAAGGTACGAGCTCATACTTGAGGGATCAACCGAATGCCATATTTTGGGCTCCGCCTTCAGGTAGGACGGTTCTTCATGTTGCAACAATAGAAGGACATATTATAATTGTGTTTGTGTTAGTGTACTTAGGTAAGAAGCAATTAGTAGAAATGAAGGATGAGGATGGTAATACTGCTCTTGCTCTTGCTGCTATTTATGGAGACATTGATATAGCAAAGTTCTTTATAAATGCGCAAGGTGGTGAAAACCTACTTGCTATAGAGAACAAAGAGGGTGAGATCCCTCTTCTTCTGGCCGCTAATTCAGGACGCAAAAGAATGACTCGTTACCTTTACTTTAGAACTTCTTCCGATGTCATTGTTGAGCAGTCTCAATGCAATCGAGTTTTGCTTCTGGAACGATGCATCCAAGCGCATATATTTGGTAAGCAAATCAACCACAATACATCCATATACACTGCTTCCCTCGTTTTCTTCTCAAATCAATGCTCTTTTGATGTACCTTATATATATATACATATACATATATACATATATACATATATACATATATATATATATATATATATACATATATACATACATATACATATATACATACATATACATATATACATACATATACATATATACATACATATACATATATACATACATATACATATATACATACATATACATATATACATACATATACATATATACATACATATACATATATACATACATATACATAT